AGAACCTGTTTTCTTCTTTCTGAGGCCTGGATTGCTTTTTGCTAAAGTTAAAATGCTAAATGTGGTGGGGTTTTTTTAGGCCACACCAATTCAAATTATGTCAAACCCCAGTATTTTCAAACACGCTTTCTTTACCGAGGTTTTTATCCTTCCTGCTTCTTTTTCTACAACACTGAAGCCTATAAATTTTATATCCAGATTCCTATTAGACCATTAGGCTCTGGCAGCAGGAGCAGAGGTGCAGGGATGATGGAATGGCTCTACAGTAAGCTGTGAGATGCCTTTACTGAACAGGCTACTAGAGGCTTTACTTAGAAGGTTTTAAGTAAAATGTTCCTAGCCCTTATGATTGTAGAACAAAGATTGAAAACTGTGGGTAAAGTTCTTCCCAACAGCTCAGAAGCCAGACGGCAATGATAAAGAATTCCACATTTCTTCTGCAAACATTTAAATATCAGGATTTATGAAAACTTGACAGTACTGTTTCAGAATACAACAACATTTTGGAGGTATCTTATAAATATTTGTAATCCTAGTCTATACACTGTCGCAGATGTAAATACAATCTTCAAAAAACAACATTCTCTCCATTATTTTATCCCAAACAAAGGGAAATAGTGTAAACAAGCCACTGCCTTTTATTTTCTCTCCCTCTAAATAGAAGCACCCGTTTCTCGTTCCACTGTCAGTGATGCTAGGGTTAAGGTGAAGAGAAACAAACATATTCCTAAACTGTGACTGTAGGTCATGTTAAGGTCCATTTCTAGCACTGTAGACTGTAAATTGTTCCACTCTCAGGATAAAATGATTGTGCTTTTTGCATACAATGAATGAAATATTGTAGCAGCATCCTACGTATATTGGTGGTTTGATACAGGGTCTAGAAGGGGAAAAGCGCGTTGTTCCTTTCCAGGCTTGTTTGGGGTGCCAGCTGTGTAAAGGTGCAGAAAGCCCTGTTTCTTCCTGCAGCAGCGTTACCCTTTCATTATTGAAGTAGAAGATTTTAGTTCTGCCAACCTAGCAATTTTTTTTTTTAAGATAAATCTGTTTTATAGCATAGATTTCCATTTAAAAAAAAACCACAAACTTATTTGGGGAAATCATAAAGTTACTCTACTGCCTGTAGTGTTCAAAGTGTGGTGTATTTTAGGGCTGTGCTAGTACTTCCTTGCCTTATAGAGACAAAGTGCCTTAAATAACACTTCCATTTGACCTGGTCAGGCTTCATTCTGACAAGTTACCAGGTAGGCAAGCACCTTAGCTTTCGGGAGATGCTTGATTGGAATACTGTACCCAGCCAGGCTTTTTCTGCGAGGATCTAAATTGGGATGGTGCAAACCCAGCTCTTTAGATACAGTTTTCCAATAGCATATTGCATGGAAAGAGCCCAGTTGCCTAGGTGACAAGCCAGAGTCACTTAGCAAGGTTCATTTCGGTTAAGGAAATTATAAAAGGAAAAGGATGTTGTTTAGGTTTGGTTTTGGGGTATTTTTGCAAACAGCCCTGTCTGAATGAGCCAATCATCAGGTGTTCTCAGCCCTGTGGCAGAGGGTGGGAGGGGGTTGCAAGAAGTACTGCGCACCCTGAGGAGACACTCTAGGGTTCTGGCCTGCCTGGCTTTTCCCCCAAACAGGGAAGTTTTGTAGTTCATAAATCTGTGATTAAAGCGTATCCGAGTTGACCTAATCCCCACACTGCCATTTGAACAGTGAGATTGGAGCATGGGGCAGAGCAGTTGCATAGACTCGAATACTTGAGTAATAAACATGATGGGAAATGGCTGTTTAGAGATTAGCTCTTGTTCCAGTCTCACTGAAGCAGTGTCTCCTTAGGAATAGATCCTTTAAAATAGTTACTGAAGAGTAAGCTATATACTGACCTGTTGCAGACTAAAGGAATGTCCTCATTTGATTCAGACCTACCCCGTGTGATGAGCAAGGTGGAGGCAGTCTTTCTCACTCCTGCAGAGAAGTGGGTAGCAGCAGTGAATTTTAAAGTGGGTGCTATAAATGGCAAGCTAGAACTGCAAATGCTAGTAATTGTAGCTAATCTGTTGCACACATTGGGTGATCTGAAATTCATGGCATAAGTGAAAGAAAATTAAGAAGGCCGAAGCAAGAGGAGGATGCAACACCCGTTCCTAACTTGAGTCTATTGATCTGGGTACTAATGAAAGTTAAAACCGTTTTAAAAAATATTGCCCTGATCAAAGATATTGGAGGTGACATTTTTGGCTTTGTAGATAAATGAGGAAACAACTGTAACTGTGTACTGCTTTTGGCAAATACTGATTTCCTGCTTTCTTAGCTTGTAAAAAAAAAATAAAATGCTTCTTCATAGTGTTCGGTGAACGCTCAGTCGCTTGAGCAAAGTGAGAGAATATCAATCCTATTGCAAAATACTAACATCTCAGTGAGGAACTGAGCCCCTATATTCATGTACATGCCAGGTAGGGAGCAGTTCTGTAACATTTTCTTCTTTACTTCATAATAGGGAACAAAACACATGCACCCTATAAAGAGTTTCTGTGGAGCTGGATTGTTTTAATTGGATTTTTGTAATTTGTACGTTATCCTTATTCATGTGAGAGTATGAGGAGCTGACAGTGAATAAAGTTTGCTCTGTGTAAAGTTACAGAGTTCATGCAGTGGGACTTGGTAATTGGAATCAGCCAGGGATGAATTGTGGTCTTATGTACAGCTGTGAAGGCAGGGCAAGGAGTATATCTCTTTTAGGTTTGTCCAGGACAAACTCACCTTTAAAATGAAAAGAAAAATGAAAAGAAAAATGAAAAGAAAAATGAAAAGAAAAAAAGGAAAAAATCTGTTCACTTATGAATGTCACATTAATCTTCTAAAAATAGTGCAGATCAATTTTTGATTTCATTAATTCAGTATTACAAATACGTGTTCTTTTTTCTCTCAAGGACATCCAACTGTATTAGAGACTTCTGCTAAATAAACAAGGGGCTTTTCAAATTTTTCATAATGTGGAGTGGTTATTACTAAGCTTTTTTCCTTCTGATGGTCTGATGGTCTACCTGGTCTGCCTTTAAGGCTCCAGTGTGGAGTGGAAGGTTGTGTTCTCCTGTTTGCTCATGTATATTCCTGTGTTGTACTCCTTACTGGAAAGGCTTCATCCAAAACAGATGAGAAGAGAAATTGTTCACAACATGAAGCAATGAACAAGAGGTGTGAAGATGTGTAAACGTCTGACAGAATACTTCTTCATTTTGATTGCTGTATACTAAATTAAGGCTTGTCACACTTTGAACATGAGCTATCCATATCTAGTTTGTATTTTCTAGGAAGTCTTTCCATATAGAGCCTCTGTTGCAGTGGCCAAATAGGAAGGAGCTCATGGAGCTCTTTGGCACTGCAAGTTTATAATCCACCAAGCAAGCTCCTAGGGTTATAGTTCAAAATATGTTTGTAGTAGGACATACATGCTTTCTTAATAAAATATTAAGGATGTATATTTCTTAATGATCAAGAGACTGCATGCAGAGTTTCAAGAATAAAGTTAGTTGTGTAGGTCCTGAATACAGGTTTGGAACTTTCTGTGCTAGAGATGAGACCAATGTTATGAAGGACTGTTCAATCTTATGGAGGTCACATTCTCCAAACTGTTACCTACAGTCTGGAGAATGTGACCTGTCTCTTATAACCAGCTAAGACACTTGAGATATTTTGCAGTGTTCTGTTGAGTCAAAAATTGTCTAAAAAATCTTGTCACGTAACAAGATACATTTGTGTTCATCAGGTGTGTTTTATTTATTGGCTCAATATAAACTACCTCTATGCACAATTTTCATTATAAAGACATCAAAACTAAGTCTTATTATAAGAACATTGCATTTTATAATGCTCAGTGTGATTTTTACAAAGGATTAATTAGCAACTGTTAGTATGACATAACTTTTATGGTCTTCAAATTGGAATTTAAATTAATAATGATATATTTTTTAATACAAATCACAAGTACATATCTATACTGGTTTATGCATCATTAACGTTATAAGAAATATTTGTGTGGAAATAGTTCTCCTTAAGTATGGTACACTAAATACTTTCTCTTTCCTATTTCTGAGACTTTAGTGCAACAGAAAATACTGAGAAAGTATTTTTTGTAAATAAACCTCTGTGTAAGCAGAATCATCTGCTGTACTCAAGTGTTTGTGCACCTCCTTTTATCACACAACTTGTTTATCCCTCCTTTGAATTAGCACACTGCTGATAGGAATATAGTGAGTGTGTATGTAGGAGCAGCCATCGCACTCTCAACTTCCAGCCTTGGTTACCTGCTGGTAATTTGTGTTCAATACTATTTTCTAACGTGCTGTGGAAGTAGTCAAGCACCAGCATAATTACAGATTGGACCATAATGCAAATGCATGCAAAATTGCCACTTAACAATGCCTGTATAAAATTCAGTATTTATTGCAACTTGGTATTGCTTTGACATAATTTTAATTTTTGTTCGCTTTATCTATTTTTACTGCTTTTGAACTTACTCGTTTTCATTTCAGTTTCCATTTCTTTTAATTGTTGGAAAAGGGTAAACTGGCTGTTAGAATTCTTTTTACAGAATATTTTCCAATTATAAATTTTGTTTAGGTCCTTGCTAAAAATATAGTACTGAATCTGCAAAGGAAATATATGCCTTTGTTAATGCTATTATAAGCATTTAAAAGGGATCATTACAGTAAATCTGACAAAGCCTTTTGTCAGATGTATTTTTATGTAATATTGTGTCATATTCTTTGAAATACTGATACCTTTTAAATAGGGTTATTTTCCTTTTAAAGCAGAAAGTGAGGGAAAAACAGAAAAGAACTAAACATATTTGCAGAAGCTTCCTCATTGAAAGGCTCCATATAGCTCTTAAAAAGACAAGAAAAAAAAAAAAGAAAAAGCTGGGGGGCCAGGGAAGGCATGACAGGAGAATAAACGCCACTTAGGAAGTCTTGATATGCTAACCCTGTCTTATTTTTCTTGCAGGAAATCCTGGCTGAGTAAAGTTGGAAGCCCAAGCTCTCGCATAGATCGAACAAGTTTTTCCAATGAAAAGGAGATTTCCAAGCTTGACTTCTCAGGATTTAGCACTAGATACTAATAGAAGAAAACATCGCTAAGCGCAAAACTATATGCTGCATGATATTTTCTGTGCCTCCATAATACGTCACAAGAGCATGTGGATGTTTTCTGTTCTGGAGATAAATAGAAATAGTCCCTGTTCACATGAAATAAAAATTCTTAGTTGTTGTATTAGACATTTTACACCATGAATGTCAATAGCTAGTATTGAAAATGCCAGTATCTAATTTATTGCATCTTGAAAGCAAGATAAATGGTTAAAAGTGTCAGTGATTATTTGTGTGTGATGAGATTTCTTACATATAACCATATGGAACCTAATCTCTGCACTGTGATTCTCCATATATTTAGATACAAAATAATAAACTTATGTTTTACTATGTTTATTTTCACCAAAAATACTTAACTACAGAACTGGAACACAGAGATCTGTTCTAACAGCTCTGCATTTATGAATTATGTTATTTGTGGTAATTAGCTATGATATAGTGGCAATTTAAAATAAATTTATGTTTCCTCAAACTAAAGTTATCTAACCAACTCTGGTTTAAAATTCTCTATAAAAATGCAGATCAGGCTTGGAACAAGATGATGAAATGTGTGGCCTCTCATCCCTTTTCCCTTGTCTACCTACTGTTTACATCCATACTGACTAAAAGGATGTTTTAATATTTTTGCTTTTTTGATGTTCTTTCAAAAATTGAAGATCTCAAGTATTTTCCTTACGGATGTGTATGTGCTCCTTAGTTAAGAATGTATGTTGGAACCAGATTCAACATAATGCACCTACATACACCATATCAAGTACATGAAAGGTCCTGGGAAGCTTGAGTTAGGTGCTCACCATAAATATTGGATAAGTCTTTGCAGTATTTGATCTAATTCTCGTATATAGTGCTCTTTTCACAGGCACCAAGGGATCTGTCAGGGTTGGAGCAGACCTGTGTCCTCAATTCTAAAGAGCTCTGGTGTCAGGATTAGTACTTGCTGGAAGACTATGGTTAGATCTCTGAGACATCCAGGCGGGCACCTGTGTGACCTGGCAGTGCTCTCTGGGTCGGTCGAGGTCGCTGCGGTGGAGGCCCACGCAGTAAGTCCCCGTCCGAAGTGTGTAGCACAGGAAGTGCAGTGACATGGTGACATGGTGACGTGGTCACATGCCCTGGGGTTGGCTCCAAGCACGGGCAGAGCCTGCCAGTGTCTGCCTGGGCTCTATCCTCTAACATAGCCTTCCTGAGGACACTTCAGCTGGTATTGCCACTAAGGGTAGATAGCATCAATTTAGGCAACATCCTCAAATTTGTGTTTTTTTGTTGTTTTTTTTTTTTTTAATTTCAAGAAAAGATGTTTCATAATTTAAGCGTTATGTTTTTCATCTGTGCCAAGCAAGGTATGCATAGAAGGGTATTTCTGCTGATATATTTTTGTTTTATAGATATTTTGTTTAATAGATTTATTTTCACTGGGCCTTTGTGTATTAAGCAGTAAAATCTCCTTTCTAGAATTTGCAGGAATTTTTTCTAAATTATTGTAGTTCAAACCCCACTTGACTTCTGTGATTATACACAAGCATCCTTTGTTGAAGTCATTGTCAATAACTCTTGTTCAACTCAAATGGTAAATGGCAAAGTTCAAGTGTAGCAGTAGTTCAATAGCTGTTACATCCTCTCTGAAAATTGTATCCTGCCAAACACAAGGAGTTTACATTTTCCTTGAAGCTACCTGGCAGAAGATACCCCCTCAGTCAAAGGCGTATTCATCCAAGTTCCTTTGCTTGTATTTTGAGCAACAATGATAGAGGAAGGCAGGAAACAAATGGAATATGAGATACACAGGAAGAAGAGCCAAAGATGAAATTGCTGTTTGGATGGGTTGGTGTGGGTGGAGCTGGGTGTTCAGAAGGACTCAGTAATTTTACCCTGACTCCATTATTCACAAGGACTCAGTAATTTTAGCCTGACTCCGTTATTCAGCCTGGAGAAGAGGAGGCTGAGAGGAGACCTTATTGCTCTCTCCAACTCCCTGAAAGGAGGGTGTAGAGAGGTGGGGGTCGGTCTCTTCTCTCAAGTCACAGGCGACAGGACGAGAGGAAATGGCCTCAAGTTGCCCCAGGGGAGGTTCAGGCTGGATATTGGGGAAAATTTTTTCACCGAAAGGGTTCTCAGGCATTGGAATGGGCTGCCCAGGGAGGTGGTTGAGGCCCCATCCCTGGAGGTGTTCAAAAGACGGGTTGATGTAGTGCTGGGAGGTCTGGTTTAGTGATGGTGATGCTTCTTGTTTGTTGTGTGGGTGTCTATTTTTGTCAGTCAGGTTGATGGTTGGACAAGATGATCTTTGAGGTCCCTTCCAACCTAGAAGATTCTGTGATTCTGTGATTCTTGGGAGAGAAAATGGGCAGGTAGAGAACTCTGAGAAGGTGGAAAGAAGAAGAAACCTGTATATGGCTCTTTCTCACATATTGAAAACAAAAAAAATAATATTTGAAGTCTCGATATGAGCACTACACCAAGGATTTTAGAATGCTTTTCCTGACCAAGAAGTTTTTTGTCAGGAGTTATTTCTAATATGGTACAACGCAAATCTAATTCCTGTGATCTCTGTAGGCCAGATCTCTTTTGAGTCTGTCACAAGGATTTTATCTATATTTGTGCAATAGCACTCAGCCTCTGCTTTTTTGCTGCTTTTGAGCCTGTCTGAAAAGGTTGATTCTGGAATACCTCTATAACCTTCCTCTTTGTTTGCGAGTCAGCAATACTGATGTTTTCTATTTTCAACATCTACTTTCCTCACATCGGTGATATGACAAGAAGCAAAAAAATAAATGCAAGTTGTCTCCCGAGTTTAGCTCTGAGTGGTTTTGACATTCAAAACTAAAATAGATACACTTTGTGTATCTGTCCTTAACTGTTCTTGCATGTTTTATTCATGTGAATACCTGCAGTACAGTTAGGATCCTATATTTGTCAGGGTATGTAGCTGGCTTGAGAAGCAACTTGTTTTATGCTCAGGGAAATGTTTGATTTGCATGAAGTTTGAATTACATTTACATTTACTTGTGTGTAAATACAAGCTCGTAGGACTCTCGCCCAGGTGATCATCAGCAAAATGTAAGCAATCCTGTATCTTCTTGGGAATATGCTGCACACAAAATGGAGGCTTGCACTGACTGCAAGAAAAAGAATAGACTGAAGTTTGTAAGGAGCTTACATGAGATGGTGTTGTCAAAAACCATGTTGAAAAAAAGTAGTCTAGAAGACAGGGTGTCATTGTTGCTCTCCTGAAAAGGCTGTTATAAGGGAAAGGATACCACTTTGTTTTTTGTGACTTGAGTGACTTTTTCCAAGACAGATATCCAAAGACTGTTCAAAGTAACTTCTGTTCTCTGTCTGAAAGGTCCTTCAGATGGAGGCAGGATGCAGTCCTGCCGTTGGAGCAGGTCAAAGCTTCGTGGTGAGCCTGTGGCACAAGAAGAGGTAGTGGTAACTTCCATCTGCCAGCTTCCTGGGTAGGCAAGGGAGGCTGGCCAATGTGCTGGTGAGTTCAGTGGTTCTGAAGCTGGGTGAAGAGCTTGTGAGAGGGACTGGATGAGTCTGGGCAAGACACATTCACATTTGGGGAGATTGGAGCCCTCTGTAGAATTTGGTTGCTTAGAAGTATTTTTCTCTGCTGCAAGTCCCATCGCTGTGCTACTGCAACTAATGAAGTATTGTCTTGCTCTGCCTGCATTAATCTTCTTATTTTGTTTAGTCCTTAGATTCTGTTAAAGTATCATGAGTCCAAAACCATCCAGTTTGTGGAAATTCAGTGTATACAGAACAGCAAAGCAGCATCTCTAGATTTAATGAAAACATCATTGATTTTTGAGGATCCAAAGAATTCTGATGGTAAGATAGAAAACAAGGGGCAAGAACAGGTGGATAAATAGACATCAAAACTAAGTTGATAGCTTTTTCCTTTTCTGCTACATACTAATTTCACTCAGTTATAATTGTGGATATCCTTTATTTTTATTTTTATTTATTGTTAAAAAATGCAGTGCAGCAAGAAAAGTGATGTATAGACCAGCTGCATTCTGGCTGTAGGTGAAAACAGTTCCTACCTATCTAAAAAGGGCTGAGACTTCTGAAAGTTTGTTCCCACTATTTCCAAGTTATTTGTGAATTTTGGGCAACGCTGACTTTCTTGAGAAAACTTTTTGCCTGACTTGTATTCTACTGTAATTTAAGAAAGTTCACATCGTTAAACCTTAATGTGTTAATTAAAATTGGAGCTTAACTCCTAAATGACCAGGCAATTTAAAAAAATGTATGGGTTTGTTTATATTTGATTAAAAAATAATAAAAAAAAAATCTTCCCTGAACAGCAAACTGAATAAGAACATTCTGCCTCATTGGGAATGATGTAATCTTTTGTTATGCTATTTCCTCTCAATACTTCTAATGTTGTAATGCACCATAGGAATGTGCTGCTCTACCTACTCATTCCTGAGCCTTCATACAGAGAAAAGCATGGTAGTGTTTTCTGCCTTACTTTCTCTACGTGACACCAATCTGTCGCTTTGTATTTTCTTAATATCCGCTGGAGCTCCCTTTCTTGGCTTGTTTTCTTCTTAGAAAACTGTGTGCATGTTTGCTGCTGCAATCCTCTTACTAGACAGAATGAACTGGATTAGTCAAGAGAGCTTACTGATTAATGCATAGCTACATAATACTACCCACTGGAGGTACTCTAATTTGAAGGGGACACTATAGTGAAAGAGGAGAGGAAAAATTGGTGTGTGCTTTAATTTTTTTAAAGTCTGTTTATACAATGTCACTACTGTAAATGGGAATTTCTACAGTATTTTTCAGTGCTGCTCAGAGTATCTTGTGTCGTGGGGCATAAGTATTAGTATTAAAGAGTCAGAAGTTATTTCTGCATCAAAACCGAAGCACATTGCACAGATTTAAATAACTGCTTGCCCCAGTTTATTTGATACCAATACTGACGTAATGCTGAAAATTGAAATGCTGAATTGGAAGATCAAAAAAAGAGCAACCTCAGGGCTGTAGAGATGCATTGAAAAGTTTTACTAGTCCAAATTCAAGAGTGGCTTAAGTAATTATGAGGGTACTAGTTGTCTTGCACAATTCAGTGATTTTACTTTAATAGTTAATATACATAAAAATATTTTCCAATTAATCAGTTCATAAATCACTTGTGAAATGTAATTGCCTTTATGTTAGAAGGTAGCAGCATGAAGAATTAAACTCTAAACAGCATTAGTGGAGGAGTGTGAGAAGATTGGCCCAATATCATCAGAGATCTGATGTTTGAAAAGGCACTGTGGGCTCTTTTGTAACTGCAAATAGCTTCTGTTAACTAAAGCCTGTGAGTCCTCTATTTTAGAAATAGGAAAGTCTTGATATATTTCTTCCTGCATTTGAGTTGTTCCTGAATGTGACGGTAGGACAACACCATGCTTTCTGAAGATCTTTTTCGCAGTAGAAACTTATGAGATGTGCGCAACCAGCTAGAAACACAAATTTGTTTGCAGGGCTAAAGGCTTTAAGCGGTGTTTTTGATTCATAGACGTTTGATCAGTGTCAAGAAGTAAATTTTATGCATCATGCACTGTTGTTTATTCCAGAAAAAAAAAAAAGGAACAATGCCCTTTAGGCTTTTTGAGACC